CACAGTCTTTGTGGGTTTAAACCGAGCACATAAAAATATAGTTAAACCTGCTTATAACGAACCTCCATATAACCAATTTCTCGATAATAAAGTTTTTCCAATCCCCATCATTAGTTTATAGAAGCACATGTATTTGCGATTTCTATGTAACAAGGTAACAGCGGGTAACATCCTTGATGTAACCAATTTTCGCCACCGGCTATATAGGAATATTGCCCCGAACTTCGTCATTTTAATGTGAGCATGCATCTTCCGCAGTTGCCCTGCCGCCGACGAAGCGCGAAGCGGCGTGGGCACGCACGGCACGCTGGTGATTCCGACAACTCCCAGGCGACAGCGAGCGCTCATTACTGCGCGTGGGTGTGCGCGAAATGGGCAGGCGGGCCTGTGCCCTATGAGCCGGCAGTGCCACTGTTCTTTTCACCGCAGACACATGCGCGGATGTGCCCTCACCCCCCCTCCAAGCCAACAACAACAAAAAAAATACTTTTGCATTGGCAGAGCCACGCTTTTAGTTAGTGTCACATATGTGGGGCCGCGCTGCATATGGAGGGTGCTTTACAAAATAGTTTTCTGCGGTGTTCGTGTCGTTTGCTCTTCGTTTTAAGTATTGTGCATGCTTGCATGGTTTCACTGCGCACGCATAGGGTGGCTCCCGACGACAATCACCTTAATTTGTTTTCTCTTTTCCTTAAAAAAAAAAAATGCTGCCAACTGTGCTGTCACTACCGAGGGGATGTCAGATTAGGTGCTGATGGAAACTCTCTGAGATCACGGTGACGAGGACAGATCTCCGAAGGTCAACTTATGATGTGCTTCCGTCTTGCGCCACGAGTTCACAGGATTATAGCCCTCGCGATTAGCCGATTAGCTGTGGCAGCAACACGACGGCACGTTGAATGCAATGAATGCGATAACAACAAATTAAATACAAAGTAAGACTCGTAGCCAACTCTAATGAATCTGATATCGGGGAAATCGTACAACAAGCTAGTGTAAGCAATTAAATATGGCCACTCCAGGGAGAAGTGCTCTTTTCGCACAATCTCTTTGCGTTGAAAGCGCATTGACACATGCCGAGATAGCACGCGCGCCAGCGATCGCTACCGCCTTTTGAAATCAAAGTTCACCGTTGCTACTCTAGCGACCCCCCCCTTCTCCGCATTTCAACACAGGAGCCAGGTTTTCTTTTTGTTTGAGTATTCGTCTGCAGTTCTAACATGCGGTGGTGGTGTGTGCGTTATCATAATGCGCTCTCCAGCCGATGAAATGGGCCGACTCACTTGATCTCTGCTTCAGCAGCACTCGTGTGCTTTTACCCGCTTGTAAAAGTTATGATGTGTGGGGACATGTTATCAATTTGAACTTGTTATAGAACATGGAATTGTCGGCAAAAACTTATCGAGAGTGTTCATATAAATGCTATTACAATAATAATGCAGTTTATTATTGCTAAATAAGTGTTTTGGGTAAGCTCTGCCTTCAGTTTTCGTTTCCTTTATTCTGTGTGTTCATTGTATGAATGTTTGTAACGAACCTGCATATTATAATGAATTTTTTCAGGAATTTATCCATTTCGCAAGTATATCCAGGTGTAACTGTAATGCGCATGGCAATGCCATCTCTGAAAAAGCATCGTCCCAGTGCTTAAAACAACATGGTAAGAAAACACATGCAACAAAAAACTACAATAAAGCAAGAAAGTAAATTAAACCAGAAGGAGAAGCGAGAGAGTACAATAAAAAGTACAGTCCTCAGGTCCACTGACGTGGGTGGAAACGGCTTTTTGTAATGCCATTTGAGATGACCTAAACGTCAAAGCGCCTTGTGAGACCCAAAGTATCATAGAAAGAGTTTTGTCTACGTTGTCGTATCAATGTCCAGACCCACGCACGGTTGCCAGGCTAGCATCGGCAAAGGTTCTGGCGACGGCTGTCGATCTTTTTCTGACACAGGATATGCAAACGGGGGAATTGTCGGACTTCTTCGGCATGCTGTAGGTAGGAGGCAATGTGGATGTTTTTTTCATTGGTGACATTTGCTAACATGGCATCAAGCGTCATTGCCGAGCTTTGTTCGTAGACCAACTTGTATGGTTGTTCGTAGACCAACACATCGTACCTTGTATGGCCATGAGGTATACGAAGCTCACGTATGGAAAGATTGCATCGTCTTATGCTTGACGTCGACGTACATGGCCTGCATATCGGCAATGGTCTTATTGAGACATTTAGTGAGGCCATTGGTCTAGGGGTGGTAGGCAATAGTCTGGTGGTGGCTTGTTTGGTTGCATCTGAAGATTGGCTGTGTTAACCTTGTTTAGCCCGGGATCCGAGAAACGAGGTAGACTTCCGGCAAGTGTAAATCAAAAAACTTTATTCCCTCTCCTCAAATCCCAAATATGCACTCGGTGGACTGTAGCACATCCTTGTGGCCACATGCTTCAAGGCACACTGGCAGTGCCCTCTACATTCCTCCTTTTCACTCTTTATAGGGCAGGTCCTTACAAGTTCCGAGCACAGGGGCGGCCTCACTATACGACCACTGCGTGTGGGTGTGACAGTTTTCTGTGGGGTTACTGCTGGTTGCACGAGTTCTTGCAAAGCTTCAGGTTGCAAATTCTCGGAAGGGTATGGCAGAGAAGCTGCTAGTTGAGCTGGACTCGTTTCTGTCAAATGAGGCACCAGGTGTCAACTATTACGCTGCAGGACAGATGCCTCTGGGGTTCTGAACAACATAGACCCGTGGAAGCTAGGCCTGTGAAAGCTTTTCACCACTGCAGCATGTGTTGGTGACGCACACAAAGTCGCCAGGATTTGAAGGGGTCAGTTTGCTTGAAGCCCGACGGCCGTTGTAGCTCTTCACTTGCTGCACCCTGTAACCCGTATTCTTTTTCCTAAGACTTGTATGACATGGTAATGATAGCCAGGACTGGTTGTTCCGATACTTGTGGGAGACATGCTTCCGATTTCCTCCCATCGGGGCTTGGGCCAGAGAAATGTCGTTTAGATCGGGTGTGTCACAGTATGATAGTAAAGCCAGAAGGGATCAAGACTTTATGAGAGCAAGTCTTTCACCGTGCGCACTATGCGCTCCGCCTCTCCATTGCTCTGGGGATACCTTGGGCTGCTGATCTCATGACAAAAGTCATATGACTGTGCAAACTCTGCAAACTCAGATGACATGAACTGCTGTCCGTTGTCGGTCCGGATCATGTCTGGTACACCAAAAAGGGTGATGCAGCTCTTGATAGCTGAAATCTCTGTGTGGTCCACCAAGGCTCATGCCGTGGTGGACCACACGGAAACTACTTCGGGGAACTTGGAATAATAATCAACAATCATCACGTAATCGCACCCTTTCAGTTGAAACAGATTGATGCCCTAGGTGCTGCCATGGCCTGTTAGGTGTAACGGTTGGCAACATAGGCTCAGATCGCTGAACTCTAGTCTCGGAGCATACAGCACACTGCGACACCATATGCTCGACATGCATGTTACAATTAGGCTACCAAACAGTCTCTCTGGCCTATTCTTGGCAGCGGCACACTCCCTGATGCCCTTCATGTAGTAGGGCGAGAGTGTCCTGGCACAAGGCCGATGGAATCCCAAGTCATCGGTCCACCAGAAGGATGCCGTCGTATGAGCGAAGTCTGTCCCACTTCTTCCAAAACGAAGTGACTTGCAGAGGCACCTTGGTTTTGTCGAGCCATCCTTTCGTGCTGTAAGTCATGACCGCAGAGTAAACACCATTTTGAGCTTGATGCTTGCACACATCCTCCAAGCATGTTGCTATCAGAGGCAGCAATTTCTTAAACACATCGCTGATGAATTGCTCCCATGTCTATTATGGGGGTAGACGACAGGTCAGAGGGAGCTCGTGACAAAGTGTTGGCCGTAGCTAAGTGCTTCTCAGGCACATATTTCACCACATACTGATAGCGCATCAGTTTTATCTGCATTCGTTGTCACATGCTCTAGGTACTTGTTACCCAGAAGTGTAGCCAGAGGAAAATGGTCTGTCTCTATTTCAAAAGTGAGGCCACAAAGGAACTGTCTGTATCATGAAACAGTCCAAGTCACAGCGAGACACTCTTCTGCCTGGCTATAGCGTGCTTCTGTCGAAGTGAGCGCTCTTGAAGCATACGCAACGGCCCGTCGAGTACTTTCAGGGTGGCCCTTTAGGAGTACCGCTCCCAGGCCTTAGAAACTGGCATCCACGGATACTACTGTATGGTAGCAGGAATTGTATTTTGCCATGCACATGTCGGAGCTCAGCAGCTACCAAGGAACAGCATGACTTTCGCAGAAAATGCACCCCACGACGCAAACCATTTATTTTAGACAAGTGAGAGTTGTACACAATAAGAGGAGTAACCGTTATCATTTGCTGTGAAGAGGATATTTCCATGCACACAGCAAAATGAATGGCCTTACCAACTATTCCACACTAAGCAGACAGTGGGTTTGATTTGACAGTGCTACGAGGGAGCGTGTTGCATACTAAAGTTTCAGTCTTGATTGGCAGTGCCCTGTAACGCTTGCAGAATTGTGACCATGGTTTGCACCTTGATAACCAACCAAAAGAGAGTTATCAAGGTGGTGGCATTGAAGAATGTGGTCAGGTTCCTTCAGTACAGGTCTCATATGAGATTGTTGTGCTGAAGTAATTCTGAGAAGTTGATGAGCAGTTAATGCTACTTTAGCTCCCGTGATGAAGACAGGGGGACTCCATCACTGCTCAGAGAAACCTTGGCTTGAAAAATGTTGCCAATAAGATTGATATCTCGTTAGTTCAGTCCATCATCTTTGCCTGAAATTTTGTTGTTTATTATGAATAGGTGATACCGACACGTTTGTGCTGAAGCAGATTTGTGATTTGGCGCTTTTTATGATATGAAGTGTGTTTCTAGGTAGGCATATTTCTTTACTCGATATTATATGTTTCTTCAACCCCTTTCCACCATCATCAAGTGTGAAACGTTGAGATGGTCCTTGCAGGGGAGTATGTGCAGCTGCTGAAGAAGGTGGATGAAGAGGAGCCCCTGTTGCTGCTGTGTGCAGGCCTGTCACTGGTGCACATTAGCTGTCAGAAGTTCTCGGCTCGCCGCCACTGGCTGCTGGTGCAGGCAATGGGCTTCCTCGACCGTTACATGCTCGCACGGCCCAGCCAGGAGGCCCTCTTCAACATGGGCCGCGCACTGCAACAGCTCGGTTTCCCCCACTTGGCACTCAACATGTACCAGCGTGCACTGGACACACCTCCGGCGGTACAGGGCATGCCGGTCAGTATTTTGTGCATCTGACGCATGCTTCGCAAATCTGGACATCCATTCTGTTAGAAAGGATTACAGTCAAACTCACTTTTAGTATCAGGCTCGCAAAAGCAACGGAGATATCAGTTTCATTAATTCAATATACAGTGTCGGCCAAGTCGATATTTCTAAATTCCCGAGTTTTTCAGGTTTTTCTTGAGTGCTTTTCCTTAGTTCCGGCAGTGAAAAAGAACTTTGTTTCATGTCAAGACAAGCTGACATCACAAGACCCAGTCATATCTCTCTCTAATCAAAAACAAAAGTTATTTAATTGCTCTGAACAAGTATGACATACAGTTAAGGGCACAGAGTATGGCGGGAAAGTCCTTTGTCTTTTCAAGCCAGACCCTAAGTGTAAACTCTCCAGGTTTGTTTCATTTTCAGTGTCTCTTCTTGCAGTGAAACTAGAATTGTATTTTAAGTTTGGTAACCTTTATAGCAAAACAACTAGTTATTGCTTCTGATGAAAAACTGCAAAATGAATAAAACTGTATTTTAGTTCAATAGCTTTGTTTTGTTTATTCTGGTAAAAAGTCAGCCATTTCTTTATTAAAGTTGTTCTCATAATAGAGTAAATGCAACAAAAAAGTTTATTTTGAGAGTTGAAAAAGAAAATTAAGCTTACTTCACATTTTGTTCAAAAAACAATGCAGTAAACAATTTTAATAATAGCAAGCTGGGCCCCACCACGGTTGTCTAGTGGCTAAGGTACTCGGCTGCTGAACCACAGGTCCCGGGATCGAATCCCGGCTGTGGCGGCTGCATTTCCGATAGAGGTGGAAATGTTGTAGGCCCGTGTACTCAGATTTGGGTGCACGTTAAAGAATCCCTGGTGGTCGAAATTTTCGGAGCCCTCCACTACGGTGTCTCTCATAATCATATGGTGGTTTTGGGACGTTAAACCCTACAAGTCAATCAATAGCAAGCTATCTTATAGTCATCGCACAAATCAGCTTTCCACTTTTTCTCTTGCTTTCTTGGTTTCCTTGCTTCTTTTGTTAAATCGTTATAATGGTACAGTAATGTTGACGGTGGTCCATTTTATCCAGCTATATTACAGTGTTGTACCTCAGTGTTATGCCAAATGGCTTGAGAATGTTTACCCAGGCCCCTCAGGCCTTTTTAAAAGTTAGAATAATTGAAAATATGGCAGTTCCAGGGTTTCCATTCCAAAGAGTACAATTCATTGTGTTGTGCCATGGTTCCGAACACTGCGTTAAAGCCTGCGGGTCCTGCATCAAGCATACCAATGCCTTTTTGTCATCTACGTGCGAAAAGAGATCAGAGATTGTTAGAACGCAACCGAGAAATGATCACTACTTGTTAGGAAACATGCAATTTCTGGGCTTTGGCGTGGCTCAGCATTCGATATCGTGGATGTGGACAAAAATTATTTTGTAAAATTCCCGATTTTCCGTAAAGTTTAACAACTTGAGAGGTCTAAATATCTTTTTTCCACAAAATATACCTTCTGCTGAGTCAGTGTTGATTCCTCAGATATTCATAGGAAGTGCAGTATTGCAGTAGAAAAATGCAAACATAACACATTCTGGCTAAATTTTTGGAGGTGTATGTGGCACGAAAATTACATTAATATTACTTAGCTTTAAACACCTTACACAAGCACCTGTTCTTAACATGTACACCAAATTTGGTATAGAAAAAAAGAACGGTACTTTTAAAATAAATGTTTTCTCAATCAACACCCAGATGACATTCTGGTAAGTTGAGAAGGCACCCACATGACCGAAAATTTTCTTCTGTTCGAAATATTCTCGCAATTCACTGTTCTCAATGCAGTAAATCAGCACGATTTTTTTCGAGTACATTTAAGACAGTCGCCAAAATAGCTCGGACATTTGGCATGTAATGACCCCATAACATCCCCTATGCTGTTTTTGGTATCACTGTCTGTTAATTTTGATCATCTGCTAGGGAACTTGATATAGTCAACATGCTGCCATTGGGCACTGCTGACCCCTGTTGTATGCCTTGTGCAGGACGTCTTTGATCTGCGTTGCGAGATAGCCTTCAACATGAGCCTCTTGTACCAGCACAGTGGCAACACCGAGCTTGCCAGCAGCATCGTTGCTCAGCACTGCATAATCTGAGCTTCCAAGCATGCATTCTGTTGCTGCTTTCCTTGAGGTTCAAACATCTGCATCTCAATGGTGCCACTCTAGGGAATCCAGTATACGCAAACATTTATGACTATGATCTTGTACAGAAATGTAAATAAACATTTCTTTTTGTCTGTTGTTCAACTCCTTGAGTGGTGATTTTTTATTGCTAACTGTCTAACTTCGTATTTTGCAGTAACTGTAGCACGGTATTTTAGTAATAACTTCTTTATGGCAGTCCATGTGGAGTGCTACAACAGAGGCTTCAATTCCTTCAATTGCACGTCGTGCCACTGCTTTTGTTCAAAGCATTTAAAAGTGTCTGATGTTTAAAATTGGGAACATGGGATAAGCAGAGATGCTGCAGCACCGACTTTAAAATCTTGTTACCTTCATAATTCAATTTCTGCCTTGTGTCTGCTGACAAGCAGGTGATCACTTGATTGTATTACAGCAACTCTGTAGATGGTCGTTTTACTTTATGATACATGAGAAATGCTGCCTCCTGTTTCTTCCAAGGGAATAAATTTATAAAATCAAATGCATTAGTTCACCTCTCTAATGTTCCTTAACTTGCAAAACCACTTCAAAACATCCTAGTCTTTATAATTGTGCCTGGTACTGTGCATGACGAGCTTTACGAAGGACGTACATTATGTGGATAAAATCTAAAAACTGCTGGCTTAGCAAAAGTGTGTGTGTAAGCATAAAATGGCTAGCGGCAAAACAGATTGACTGAGTATGGTTCTAGCCACAATGATAAAATGGAAATAGCGCATGTTTGCACACCGTGCTGGCTCCTAGGAACACCACTGTTTCCTGTCACCACCACGTGGGCATTGCCTCGGTGTATGCAGCCACAATGTGACACATGCCAGAAATTGATATTGGAACAGCGCAGAGACGAATCACAAAGAAAGACTGAACAACACAGTGCTCGTGTTGTTCATCGTTCCTTTGTGATTCGCCTCTGCGCTGTTCCAATATGAATACCAGCCAACTAGCCCAACTCTACTTTTTGCTACATGCCAAAAAGTTTACTGGGCAGTAGTGATCCTGTTTAGGACTTATACCTCGTGTAAGCTTTGTTTCGGCCAAACACCATTCGTGTGGCATGGTCATGGAGCGGGGCAGGATCTCTGAAAGGTGGCGCAAGTCGTGTTGCCGGCAACTCTAAGCACGTACAACCTGATTTCAGTACAAGAAGATGACAATCAAGTGTATCTGCATTTAAGATACTGTAGTGCTTACATAAGACGAGGACAAGACGGAAAAGGACGGCACCTGCCCTGTCGTGTACTTCTCCGTCTTGTCCATAGGTCGGCGAAAATTGTGGAGCTCTCGCAGGCTCGCTCATGAAATATATTTTGTGCTTAGGGCATACTCGAACTCATCAAAATATTACTTACACGGATTCCCTCAAACTCAGAATCACGGCACGATCTGAGTTTGAGTGAGTAGACTCATGTGTCTGTTAGCCTAGAATCAGCTTGTTATACCATGTCCTTTTTCTGCGCTACCCTGCCAACAAGCCCAAATTGCAACCCTCATTGGTTCCGTCTGCCTCATATCGGTGCTTGCCTTCTCGCAACATGTTTGACAACAGTTGGCGCATGGAGCGGAAAGTTCGAACAGCACTTTACTTCAGCAGACATTGTCTTCTGTGAAACAAAATTTTATGCAAGTGTGTAGCAAGTGTTTCATGCAAATATGTTTTTTCCGAAGAATGACGAAACATAGTATAGTAAATGTCACCCTACTACACAAAAAAGTTACGATAAGTTATGGTGTAGTGTATCCAGCAAGTGTGCTTGTAGGAGTTACCCAAAGAGTGTTTAGAAACGGCTCTGAAATGCCAGTCTTGCAGCTTTCGCTGTGACTGTGTTGCATGCAGGCTTAGCATATTTATTGTTTTTTGATTAAGTTTTTTTCGTGAGATATTGATTACAGACACCGGTGGCAGGGATGGCGGACAACCATGACGCGTGCGACCCTTGTTGTGATCTCATGACAGCTTTCACTGGAATAAATAACACTGTGTGGCTGCACAGCTGCAGAAATCATTGCGGTAGATTGCCGCTATTTGTGCGATTGCCGGCTATAGCTATGACTACCTGGCAATTACCCTAGTAGTACAGTAGACTCGTGATAATTCAAACTCTGATAAAGCATATTTCCGGTCATTTCAAACAAAATTCAATTTTTTGGTAGACCCTCAATACTTTCAATGCATTCAAGAGCCTCTTATTTTAAACTCGTCACTAGTTTAATTCATACTTTTTCGGGTTCCATACCGGAACATATCTGCTGCTTTCTGACCACTATTTAAAAGTTTGCGTGCTTCTATGCTTTAAAATTTAAGTGCAGTCTAAACATGACAAATAAGCACCTTAGACCTTCAAGAAAAAGGCTTTGCTAGTAAACAAATGTTTTAAATGGAGCACGTGCACTGTAAAATGTGATACTTCTTAAATGGTATAGACAGGTTTGTCCTGAAGGCACATATAGCAAAGAAGCAGTTGGCGATTCACAATTTCTTTAAAATCTCTAATCAGCAGTAAATAGCCAATAAACTTGTGGACCTTACACCTCTGCTTTTTTTTTAATTGGGTGCAGTTAGGGTTTAAAAACACTTCAAGAATTTTTAAATGTGATAACATCAAGGCTTAATCGTAATGTATGGTGTCACCTAGCCCAGATTCATGTATCTGTTGACTCATGATAATTCAAACCAAATTCAGAGGTCCCTTTGAGTTTAAATTAACAAGAGTCGACTATTGTAAAGAAACTGCCAGGCCTGCGGGTAACCCGCGGCACTGTCACAGCCAAAGCTGGAAGAGCAGTCTTTCAGAGCCTTTTTTTAACACTGTTTGGGTAGCTGCGGCAAGCAAACCTGCTGAATACCCACTAGTACATCATGAATCATTGTGTAGCAAGGAGGCATTCGCTATGCCATCCTTTATTATTCTTCGAAAAAGTGTGGTACTTGTTGCACACTTGCAAGGAATTTTGTGCGTTTTTTTTATGCTGTCACTAATGACAATGAACAATTATGCCAGAAGCTTTTGTAATCCCCAGAATGCCGCACGATGGCTATGCGCCACAGTTAATAGGTGAACGCGATCAAGCTTTTGTAAAGGGCTGCAGCATTCGACGACCCACTTGTTGTGCTATTCGCATTGTGTTACACCTGGTCGTTCCTTGCTGTTCTAAAACCCTTTATTAGTCATATTAACGTGATTACTTTCTTAACATCGCGCCTAAGGCCAGTTTGCAATGTGATCTCTAGCATCGGCATTGCTCAGTGGTAGAATACCGACCTGGCATACTGGGGAGCTGGGCTCAAGTCTGATTGAGTCCCTGATGTTCTTTATTTAATGAGGCTTTTTGCTTATTTCGTGCGATAGAGGTTACGGGCACCGGCAGGGGAGGCGGCGGACAACTACGGCGCACGTGACCCATGGTCTGACCTCATAACAGCTTTGGCTATAAAAACCACCAGGCCGGCACAGAACTCGGAGCATAATCACAGCAAAAACTAGAAGAGCGGCCTTTCAGAGAATTTTTAACTCTTTCAGACGCCTTCTATGAAGAACTGTTTGTAAATGTGTCAAATTGCTGCAACCTTACTGCAACGCACTCAATATGCTATTGCAACAAAAATAATGAGATAATTCTCAAATTTAAGGGTGTTATAGCAACTCATCTTAATTAACTTTTAATTGATTATCTATTTGTCCTAAAGTCATAAATGCTTAATGCTTACTTTTTGCATAAATAACCTCTGAGGCAAGAAACGTAGTATAATTTTATTTTCTCTTATGTTCATTTTGAGCACAAAAAAATTCTTCTTTTCACATTGCTCGCAGGAAGCGGCACGTCGCACAACTCGTCAAACAAGTAGTGCCTTCAGAAAAGTGATCATATGTATCACTACACTGAAGAATGAAGTTAGATAAAGACTCATTTAATATGCAGAAGGTTCGACTCATTCAAAGTATCATATAACTTGCTCCTTTCTAGTATCAACTTGATGCAAATAGTAAAGACAAGTAATGTAGACAATTATGTACATAGCGTCTCAACGGGTTAAACAGTTTTGGGTAACTCCTACAAGCACATTTGCAGGATACCGACTATGCCATAAATAATCATAATTTTTGTGTCCGGCATTCACTATGTTATTTTTTTTTTCGTCGTTCTTTGGAGAAACGTGGTATCCGCTACACACTTGAAAAAAAATTTGTGCAAATATTTCGATGCAGTGGCTGATGACGATGAAGAATTAGCCAGAAGTGGGTATGTACCACAGTTAATATGGGGATCAAGAACAAGCTCTTGTAATGGGTTGGAGCATCGGACGACCCACTCTATCCACATTGTGCGATGCTTGGTCGTTTCTTTGATTTTCTAAAACGCTTTATTATTCATACTAATGTGATTCCTTTCCCGACATCAAGCCTGCGTAAAGCCAGTTTGTGAGTCTATTAGTGAACCAATCACTATGCAAGAAATAGAACTTGCTATTCAACAGTTACCATTGTCAAAAACACCAGGGCCTGATGTAATGTCGGGCGAGTTTTACAAAACACATAAATCATTACTGTGCCGTGTACTGCTCGACATTTTCACGTTGAGTTTTAATCTGGAGACGCTTCCTCGATCTTTTACTAAAAGCCACACTGTTCTAATCCCAAAATACTAAGATAGAGGACTTTCTCATGTTGATGGCTACAAACTAATTACAATGTGCAACGTTGACTACAGAATTTTACAGCGAAAGCTGTTATGACCTAACTCAGGTCATGGACGGCGTTGTATTTGTCCGCTGCCACTGCCGGTGTCCGTAACCATTATCGCATGAAATAAGAAAAAAGAAACGTAGTACCAAGGACACAGTGCAGCTCGAACCCAGGTCCGCTGTGTGCCAGCCCAGCATTCGACCACTGAGCCACCCTGGTTTTTTTTTTTCTTTATTTAATTGAGCCACACCGGTGCTTGGGACTTCTTCGCGAACTTGTCCCACCGGTGTCTGTAACCACTATCGCATGAAATAAGAAAACAGAAACCTAATACCAGGGACACAGTGCACGGTCCGCTGTGTGCCAACCCAGCATTCTACCACTGAGTCACACTGGTCTTTT